GAAGCAAGAATCTTTCTGTCTGCTGTCATTAAATTCCTGTAAACTGCTCTTTATAAGCCATAGGGAATTCGGCCAAATTTCAGTGACCCAGCTAAAAGCATCAGACAGCTAACAGTCTGGCTCACCCTGAGAGGAAATTAGTTTGTGCTTGATTCTGCAATATCACCGTGGTGGTTTGATTATAAAGATGTCCATGGAGTGGCCCTTTAAATCCTTACAAACGGGTGCCAACAAGCTTAGTGGCCAGCCCAATATTGCACCTCCCCTTTCTCTTGGAAGAATGTATGATACTTTGCATCTTGGAAGGGGCATGGATGATCTTTACTTTGACTTAGGATTCCCCTCCCCCATGTTTTCTTCTTATGAATTGGTTTTCATTAGCCAGGCCATTTTAACTTTGTTTTATGTTTATAAAAAGAGAAGTAGTTGGTACAATAGAAGAAGTGTCAGACTTGGAGTCAAGAGAGATGTCCAGAAGTCCAAAATCCAGAAGTCTGGATTTTGCCTCCAACACTTACTGAGCTTTCTGGCCCTGGGCAAGTTATTTCACTAATACACATTTTAGATTTATCCTATGGAGAGGATAATGATACATTATTTGTAATACCTCTAATATTTGCCTTATGGGGTTATTGTGAATATCAAATCAAATAATTATGTAATGTACTATGTGACCCTTACAATCTTAAATAAATGTCAGCTGTTATTGATATAATACCAAGGGACAGGGGTAGGGACCTGACCTGTGATTTCATTAGTAGATGGAGCTTCTAGGTAAGGAAATTCTCTCAACCGATGTAAGTTGGTACCTTCTCTGCACCTTTACAAACATTAAATCCATTTTTATCCTCACAACACCCCCAGGAGGTAGGGGTTATTATTACCCCCATTTTATAGATGAGGAAATTGAGGCTGGCAGAGGTTAAGTGACTTGTTCAGGCTCACATACTAAGTGTCAGAGGCCAGAACTCAGGACTTCCTTTCTACAGGTATAGGGCTTTTTCTACTGCCCCACTTAGTTCCCTGAAAAGCTTTTTTTTTTTTAAAAAAAACAGTATTTTATTTTTTCCAATTATATGTAAACACAATTTTTAGCATTCATTTTGACAAAATGTTGAGTTCCAAATTTTTCTCCTTTCCTCTCTTCCCTCCCCTCTTCCTAAAATGGTAAGCAATTTGATGTAGGTTATATATGTGCAATCATGTAAAACATATTTCCGTATTAGTCACTGTTGTGAAAGAAGAAACAGACCAACAGGAAAAAACACGAAAAAAATAAAGTGAAAATAATATGCTTCAGTCTGCATTCGGAGTCTATCAGTTCTTTCTCTGGATGTGGATAGCATTTTCGATCATGAGTCCATTGTAATTGTCTTGGATCATTGTATTCTTGAAAAGAGCTTAGTCATTCATAGTTGGTCATCATACAGTGTTGCTGTTATTATGTACAATGTTGTCCTGGTTCTGCTCATTTCACTTTGCATCAGTTCATACAAGTCTTTCACCTGCTCCTCAGAGCATCCCTAGATTCTCTCTAAGTTCAGCTCATGTCACCTCTTACAGGAAAACCTATGCAGATGTCCCTAATTACTAGTGCTCCTCCCTGTAGATATTACTTTGTATATTTGTTGTTCAGTCATGTCCAACTATGACCCCATTTGGGATTTTTCTTGGCAACGATTCTGGAGCAGACTGTTATTTCCTTCTCCAGCTAATTTTACAGGTGAGGAAACTGAGGCAAATGGGGTGAAGTGACTTGCCCAAGGTCACACAATTGTTAAGTGTCTGAGGCTGCATTTGAATTCAGGTCTTTCTGACTCCAGGCCCAGCACTCTATCCACTGGACCACCTACTTGACCTTACTTTGTACGTATTTGTCCATACTTTGTATGTATTTTGTATCTAATATTCTGTGTACAAGTTGTCCCCTTCCTCCAACAGAATATAAACCCTTTGGAAAGAGCAGAGTATATTTCCATTTTTTTTTTTTTTTTTTTTTTTTGTATCTCCCTTGCCTAGCACTGTATCTAGCATGGAATAGATACTTAGTAAAACGGTTTTTTGAGGAATGAATGAATTCTCATTTTTCTTGGCTTCAAAGAAATCTGCATTTGTCAGGAATGATGCTTATTGTCACTTTATAGGTTTGAAGTTTCAAGTCTAGCATTCAACAGATTGTTAATTTGTTCCTAAATATTTTGGCAGCAACTAGGACACACCATTCCCAGGAAACACAAATGGCAGTGCCCAGGTTATGGCCACAAGGTTGCAAAAGCAAGTTCTTTAAAATTGTGGTTTACTGTAAGAGGATTAATAGAATTTTTCCCACTATTTTTTAAATGAAAATATAACTTACTATTAAAAGGGCTAATCTTAACTATTAACCAGGTTTACTGATCACTATTTTTTTTTTGTGAGGCAATTGGGATTAAGTGAATTTCCCAGAGTCACACAGCTAGTATTATGTGTCTGAGGCCAGATTTGAACTCAGGTCCTTCTGACTTCAGGGCCGGTGCTCTGTCCTCTGCACCACCTACCTGTCCCCTGAACACTATTTTTAAAAAGATGGTACCCAATTGCATTAAATTTAAAGAAATCACTAATCACAGATCTAACATTTGCATTTCCCAGGTTTGAATAGAACACTTCTTTTGTCCACCTTTAGTAATTTACATTAGCATCAATAGCCCTTCACACAGTGTCTTTGTGGGCCTCCCTTGCACACAGAACATCTATGAATGTTGATGACAGGTTGTAAAGACTTCTAAGGGCAAGCAGTACTCTTTCTCTTAAGAGCAACTTTCTCCCTATCTCATTATGTTTCAGCATTAAGCTTAAGCAGAGGAGGAAACCTCTTAAGTTTGCTCATTTCTCTAACCAGAGAAAGCCATAATTCTCTGCTTTCAGTCAGTAAAAAGGAGAGCAGACATTAGTTGTTCACTCTACTGCTAGCAATTAATGTGGTTTTATTTCTTCCATGGACATAAGTAGAAAGACAAAACGAGGGACCCCATGCAAAAATTAGGGATTTTTTTTTTCAAGCTGAAGGGAGTAACTTTCTTACTTTTTTAACTTTAGTTCTTAGCGTTTTAAAACCAGAATTGGTCTTACTCAACATTTGCAATGAATGGTCCCTTAGCAACCATCCCACACAGAATTAGATACAAACTTTTGCTTCTGATACAGCTGTTTTCTTTTAAAGAACTTGGAAGTGACAAATACTATAATTTCACTAGAAAATAACTTTTAGAAACACATGGGAAAAAGAACAAGGCTTTTTAAAGAAAGTTACCCCATGAGACAACTCTTGAATGTGTCTGCTGTAGGCATACACCTAGGTTCTTTCAATATAGTAAAAAAGGGGAGAAGAAAACAGGCAGGTAGGTGCAGGATGAATGTGGTTATTTGCATTTGGTGTATTTAGTATGGAGTGAGGCCAGTGCAAATTTAGAGGACTGGAAGTTTTGAATATTTAAAAAATTATCTGAAAGTTATTGAAAGTATATAGATAGGCTTTTAAGGTGAATTTATTACATCAATGAATCTTTCTTTGTGGTAAAACCAAGTTAAATAAACACATTTTGTTTGAAACCTGGTAAATCTCATAATATTTCTAGGTGTCCGGAAATGTTCATCAGTTTAGAAGACCAAGAGGGCAAAATCATAGTATCCACAATCCACATTGCCTGTTTGTATTATACTTGATATACCAGACATTATTTTAGGAGGTTAGTCAAAATATTAATACTGTCCCTATGGAATACAGCAGAGATTCTAGGAAAGTGTCATATGAGTGACAATACCAGTTCTGTAACAGCAAAATCCTAAAAAATTCCATAGGATTCAGACTCAACAGATAGGTAGATCCAATACTGACATCCTTCTACCTATCTACCTGACAATCAGTGCCCTTCAGCAGTCAATGTCAGGTCCTGGCTCTGAATCTTTTTCTTTGGGTTCATTGCTAGTCCCTTATCCCTTGAGTCATTTATATCCTTGATTTCTCACCCTTTTGCCCTTTGTTCATCACTCTTGTATTGATTTGGAGAGAGGGGATTTCATAATTGGTATCCTGATATAACTCTTTTAATCAATTTATTTCACAAAAATTTTTGCAAGCAATTGGAAGGTGCATGGGATTAATTGTACAGAATTACAAAGTTTTCCAAGTGATGGTTCAGTGGGAAAAGCATTGGTTTTGAAGTCAGGAAATTGGGTTCAAATCCTAACTACCCTGGGTCTGAATTTCCTTATCTGTAAAATAAGGGGGTTAGACTAGATGGTCATTCCTAGATCATATTATCTTATATTCCTTGGATACGACTCTCGAGTTAATCAAAGTCTAAGAGAAAGTTGCGTCCTGAATGAATCCTTCTCACAAGTCATGTGTTTCCCCACTAATGTTGACATTCTTGCAGGGCCATCAGAACAACTTTCTGTGGGTACCCTGAGCAAGAAAGTCCATCAGCTGTTCAGTAGAAGTCATACTGCATCTTTAGCTTTTTGTCTTATCTGCCTCTCCATTCAGAGTAAGAAGTGTCACTTTGTACAGAGGGTATTGCAACAGATAGCCATTGCATGAGAGTCATTCTGTTGGAAATGAAAGGACAAACAGGTGGCTAGTTGATTCTCTACTTTTTGATTTTTATCCACCGATTCCTCTTACTTATTCTTTTTCATGGTCAATACTTTACCTCTTGGATAGTGAAATTAAGTGGCTTTCTGGATAGTTAACTGCCAATGTTTATTCTGTGACTCATTTGTCAAGAAGTTCTCCAAGACAGGACCAGCATTTTTTGTTATTTTTCACTACTCATCAAATGCATTACTTCCAAGATAGTGACTATCTTAATCCACTTAGGAAAAAGAACATCCAGGTTGGCCCCAAACTTGGGCTGTGGGTTTACTGGTATGAGCTACCAGTCATTAGCTAACTGCTGGTTGTATCATGAAATCAATTGTTGTGCTAATCAACCCTTTTTCTGTTTTTCCTCCCATAGGAATATTTTTACCCAAGATATTTAGGTGAGTCTTAATTACAACTTTTCTTTCATTGGCATTGTGGGAAGGTGTACTTTATATTAGATAAGTGCAAAGCACAATTATGAGGCTTCACCTACATACAACTTAAGTGGAGAGGATTGCTTAATTGTAGACTGATGTGGTTACTCTTAAAATCATTTAGGCCACATTTTTTTAAAATGGTTTCCACCTAAGTGACCCATATTGGCTGAGCCTAAAGGCATTGTCTAAAACACAGTTTGGCTGATATTCTGTCTGTATTATTTAGAAATAGTCTGCATGAGGCATGGTGGAAAGAGTGCTAGAGAATCTGGATTTGAATTCTCACTTTGCTTTTCTTTATATGTGAAATGATAGAGTTGGATCAGATGGCCTTAAAGTCCTTTACAATTCAAAATCTATAATGCTATGGTATGGTCAGAAAGGAGCATAGGTAAGGAAACATACTCCTAACATAGTTGTTTTAAAGGACATTTTTGTAAATTTCCCACTGACTTTATGCTTTCAAAAATTCATTTCTGGGGCCCAAATTTTGACTAGAAATAAAATATATTTCCACCTAAAATTCCTGTTCAGTACTTCCATAATACATTGTAATTGACTTGTGATGAAAAATCTTGACATCTTTCAGGTACAGGGATCAGGACAGAGATTCTTTTATGTGCAAAGGAATGAGGCTTGGGATTCCTATTGCCACCTTAGGATTTGTTCTGTAAAACTTGGTTTCAGTCAAAAGGCCATACCTAAGGACCAAAAAGGCCATATGTGGCCTCAAGGTCACAGGTGCCCCACTTCTGATCTAGACCCTGGGATTAGAGTCATTCCTTCCTCTAGGCACTATAGATATTTTCCTGTATTTGATGGGCAACAGAAACTCATTAAACTTCAGAGGGACAGCATGGTGTAAGAAGTGTGAACCCCAAGAACTTCATGAACCCCACAACCCCCAATTTGAAGACGGAGTCTGCTCTAAGAAAGAGATAAATGAAATCAGGGTGCGTGTCTCCACAATATAATTTCTCTCAAGCTGACTTGACATGCATTGCATGGGAGTTCAGTCCAAAACTGCCCTTCCCGCCAAGGGTGGCAGTTCAGAACTGTCTCGAGTTACGATTTTGAGGGGTATGGGTTAGTTATATGCCCTTCGAAGAGTAGGTGTTCCCAAGGGATGCCAATCAATTTTTGGGGGTGGGCTATGTTAAAATGAGAGTCTTTCAGTATATGACCCAGGTCACTCAATCTCTGTCAAAGAGACATCAATTTCCACATCACCTGTCTTGACAGTAGGGAGGAATCAACATTCTCCCAGACCTGTCTGGGCAATACAATGAGCAGGAATGGACCCATTTAGATTACATCTTAATGTCCTTCTTCAGAAGGACTGAATTTAAAAAGAAAGGAGGATGGGGAAGCTCTTAGTTTCCAAGATGATGATTACTAAGGAAAATCAATTGTCACAGAAGGAAGAAAACAAGTATTTAGTAAGTACCTTCTGTGTGCTAGGTATGGCAGCTAGGTGGTGAAGTGGATAGAGCACTGGGCCTGGACTCAGGAAGACTGAGTTCAAATCTGGCCTCAGACACTTCACAGCCACATGACCCTGGGCAGGTCACTTCACCCTGTTGGCCTCAGTTTCCTCATCTATAAAATGAACTGGAGAAGGAAATGGCAAACCATTCTAGTGACTTTGTCAAGAAAACTCCAAATGAGGTCATGGAGAGTTGGACATGACTGAAAAATGACTGAACAACAAGATGTTCAAATGTTTACAAATATTATCCCTTTTGATCCTCACAACAAGCCTGTAAAGTAGGTGCTATAATTATCCCCATTTTACAGCTGAGGAAACTGAGGCAGACAGAGGCTAAGTGACTTGCCCAGGGTCACCCAACGACTAAGTATCTAAGGCTAGATTTGGACTCAGGTCTCCCTGGCTGCCTCTAGGAATGTAATAGGAAAAAGTGTTATGCCTTGGAGGCAGAGAGACTTAGATTCTAATCCAATTTTGACACTTATAATTGTATGAATTTAGGTAAGTTATCTAACTTCCCCGAAGCCCAATTTCTTCAGCTACAAAGTGAGAATAATACCACTACAGAAATGTCTCTTGCACTTTCCTGACAGTGTTGTTGTGAGGCTCAAGCGAGGTAATGGATATAAAGGGCTTTTGCCAAGCTTTAAACACTAGAAAAATGTCAAATATTAGGGACAGTGGATACAGGTGTTTACCAGTTGTACACCTCTGGTTACAATATATAGTAGTACTTTAAAGGTTTGTGAAATAGGGAACTTTATTCACATGAAGTCAAACATGAATTTAGTCTCTCTAATGACTCATAATTCCAGGTCTTCACATTGTGAAGGGATTGTGTCTCCTCAGGAAGTAGACATTTTAATAAGTCTTTTTCTGAATTACAGTGTGTCCTGTTTCTTGGAAGGAATTTTCTCAATTCAGGATGACTGTCAAATTAAAAACATAATTCCTGGGCCATTTATGTGCCTTTGATAGGGAGTGCACTAGACTGGAAATCAGGAAGACCTCAATTTAAATCCTACCTCAGACACTTACTAGCTGTTTGACCCTGGGCAAGTCATTTAACTTCTCTGGGACTCTGTTTCCTCACCTGTAAAATGAAAGGCATTGGGCTTACTGACCTCAGAAAGTCCCTTCCAGCTCTAATCTATTATTTGTTACATATTGGCTATCTTTACTGGCATGTCAGAGACTTCGATGTACATGGTCAAATGTGTTGTTATATGATAACAACTTCAGTTGAGTAGATGTTAAAGTTTACTTTATTTTTTGATACCTAGTAGAATCTTGGGTACACTGTTCTAGTTTGAGTAATTCTCATTTTTGTTAGAGTTGAGGAGTTTGTATTAACTAGGGAAATTTTACATTTATATGATATAATCCATCTGGAATACCATATATTTGAATTTCCTTTCGCAAGCATTGCTTAAAGATACAATAGCAGCCATTTTCAAATCTGACCATCTCATAGCAGTTTATTGTAATAAACATGTGTCTTTCTCTTCCTGTAGAGTGCATTGCGAAATATGGTTCCCCCTATGCCAAAAATGTAAATTTCATTTCATGTGTTCGCGGTAAGTCTCTTTCCTATTAGTTCTTATTCTAAATACTATAGTGTAACTGGATATGAATTTTATTCTTTGTTTGAGGGAAGAATTCCAAATGCCTTCTTTCTCCTAAAGAGGCTAGGTGGTCATCCCTAAGGACTGTCTTTGTTTTTTGGGGGTGTCAGTTTCATTTTTTGATTTTTTTGCATTGACTGTCTGTGGAATGTTCTCCCTCCTCACCTCTACTACTCCTGATTCAGCACTTCTGCCAAGGCTCAGATCAGGTGCCACCTTTTATTCAAGATCTTTCCTCAACCCCAGAAATTACAATGTATTTACTTTGCATGTACTTTGTACCTACCTATAAGTGTGTACCTGTGTACATAAGTACATGTACTTATCTGTGCTATGTTGCATTCCCCTCCACCACCACTATCCCATATTTAGTAGAAGGCAAAAACTCTTTGTGGAATAAGACTGTGTTTTTTTTTTCTTCTTTTTTTCCTCTTTGAATCAACACCGTTGAGGATAGTGCTTTGTGCTTAATAATAAGCATAATCATAAAATCATTTATATACACCTACCATGTGCCCAGCATTGTGCTAAGCACTTTACAATTATTATCTCATTTGATCCTCTCAACAAGCCTGGGAAGCAGCTGCTATTCTTATCCCCATTTTAGAGTTGAAGAAATTAAGGCAAATGGAGGTTAAATGCCTTACTGAAGGTCAGACAGCTAGGTCAGACAGCTAGTAAGTGTCAGAGGATGGATTTAAAGAAGGCTATAGGCCCAGCACTCTATCCTCTGAGCCACCTAGCTCCCTCTATTAAGTTGCTGCTTAGTAGGTGCTTCACAATTCCTCATTAAATTGAATTGAATTGAATTCTGTTTAACTGAACTGAATTGGAATTTCTGACAGCAAGGAAAAATATTGGGAAATAAATAATTCATTTTCACGAATACGTGGGATTAACTAGATTCATGGGTTGTGATAGGGTGGTTCAAACTACTTTTTAAAGTGTCTTAAGATGAGAAGCATAGTCCTTCCCAAGGTGAAAAGAGCACTGAACTTGCCATCAGGGCTAGACTTGAGTTCTTGCTTTGTCTTTTTCTACATGACTAGCAAACGGCTTAATTTCTTTAAACCTGTTTCTTCCTGTGTAAAATAAGGATAATAATTCTTTTACTACTCTGATTCCTAGAGTTGTTGTAAAGAAAGTACTTTGTAAACCTTAAAGCACTATAGACACATGGGTTTTGTTATTATTGTTACTATTATTTGAAAAGGATGATGGTGGTGGTGGTTATTGTGAAGATCAAGTCAAATGAGACAGTGTATATAAAACACTCCTGTTGGGAGTTAATGAGCAACAAAAACTGCCTCCCTGGACACTAGTCCACTGGTGATTTAATCTTGTGTTTCTTCTTCCACTAGACATTTCATATATGATTTCCATTCCAATAAACTAGAATAATATGATGGCCTCCCTCGCACACAAAGCATTTGTGGGTGTTGGTGACAGGTTGCAAAGACTGTCAACAGCATCATGCCAAAAGAGTCAGGTAGGACAAGAACAAATATCTCCCTTAACAAGCAGGTGATAACACAGAGTCAGTAGCCATGTGCTGACCTGATAAAGCTTTTATTCTCCCTTTATTTGTTTGTTTATTTGTTTGCTGAACTATCAATCAACAAGCATTTATAAAATACCTACTATGTGCTAGGAACTGTATTAGGCCCGGGGTTACAAAGACCAAAATGAAAGTCCATCCTCAAAGAGCTTATATTCTAATGATTAACAGTGATTCCTTTCATGTTCAATACACACAAGTCAATACTGATTTTTGGTTGATTGTCCAAGCCTATTAAAACCAAAGAGATAATATGACCTCCTTAGCCTGTGGAAACAATTACTCAATTTCCCAAAGACTTATATTTCTGGATCTTGTAAGAACTGGACAGAGATAAGGGGGTTTGAATCTTGTATGTAGGGGTTATGTTACTATTTCCTTTCTGTCTTTATTAGTGTCCTACACATAATATTCAATCAACATATTTTGTTGTTCTTTATGAGATGAGGGAGAGACTTGACTGAAAAGATATTCACCACTGTGGATACTTAGGGGGCCCAGCATTTGCCTAAAGCAAGTATTTTTAACCTCCTTTTGTATGTCATGGAAGTCTGTGAAGGCTATAGTCTGCTCTGAATGTTATTTAATGCATAAAATACACAGAATTATAAAAGAAATCAATTACGTTAAAATAAAGATAGACTTTTTCCCTACTATCCAAGTTCTTGGACCCTTGAAATCTGTCCACAGACACCAGGGCAAGAATCCCTGGCCCAAAGCCTACAGCATTCCATTTCCTTAGTTTTCAGGGTCTCCTAAAGTTAAGAAGTTCAGCTGTTTAGTCTTGTTTTCCAAAAGGTATAGACATTTCCATTTTCCTCCTCTCAAAGCCAAATGGTTCTGCAAGTATTAAAACATTTTGGTTTAGGGGAAATGAGGTTTTTGGCATCAATATTTATTGCACATAATTTTTTTTCAGCTGCTTTGCCCTTTCTAAGTGTTTTGCATTATTTTCTCTCTCAGTGTCTCTGTGTCAAAATGAGGTGAAAGCTTACATGGCCTTTGACTAAGACAAGTGTTGATGAATTCTACAACTCTCTCCTCCCATCCCCTGTGCCTATATCAGATTTCCATGGGGGAAAAAAAATCTCCTGTCTCCTTCTGTAGAGTCAAAACAAACAAAGGGTGCTGGATGTAGTATGTAGGCTACTTGTTGTCACCCTGAAATACTTGGGGGGGGGGGCCCAAAATATAACAAAGAAAAGTATTCTTTTGTCAGTCAGCAAATGTTTCACATTCCATTCCACAGCAACGAACTAGTTCCTTCCTCCCTTTCCTGAAACACAGCTTTCTGCTGAGGCCAAGATAAATTCTTTATCTCCTGAACAACTCGGTCCTTGATGCCACTTGTGAAAAGTCCAGCCCGACCATTCAGCTCAGAAAAAGACCTTTCTGAGAGGCTTTTGGGCCAGCTTTACTGCCAAATACATAGCCAGGAAAGCAGATGGTAGATTTTTCAAGAGTCCTGTTAAATAATTGTATTTCTCATTCACTCCTTTACCTGTCTGGTTAAATTTCCTACTAAAATGGGAGCAAGAAATTAAAAAAAAAATCTTTTGGGGGCATACGTGTTGAGGTGAAATAGTGGTTGTTTAGAAATTGTGTGATAATTGTAGTTTAGTGGACCCAGACTGCACTGAGATTCAGGAAACTTGAATTCTAGTCCTTGTTCTACTCTTTTTTTTTTTAATTAGCTATTTGACCTTGGGCAAGTCACTCTCCCTCCCCTGGCCTCCATTTCCTAATCTCTCACTGAGTTGGAAAATCTGATCTCTAACTCTAACTCCAACTCTTAATATTCGAGAATTCTTTCAAAAATCTATCCCTCACAAAAAGGGCAGAGACAAGATAGGGCAGTAACAGGAAGAAGTGCAGCAAGCTCCCTCCCACCTAACTTTTCCAAACACATCCAGAAATAGACCAGGCTGAATCCTGATAAAAGAATCCAAGAGAAAAAATCAGAGTGAGTCATTTTTTCTCAGTCCAGGGCAGCACTAGGAGATAGAAAACAAAGTCTGTAGACACCAAGGGCATGGTATAGCCAGTAATAGCCACGCAGAGCATTCCAGTGCAGGGAGAGGCTGCACACCAGGGCAAGAGATCCCAAGACCTAGCATAGATAAACCTAATTTGAGAAGGGTAAAAGTATATGTGCCAACTGGCACCTCTTTTGCTCACTACCCAGTTCTGGTTCCCAGATCTAGGATTGACTGAGGAGGGGACTTAAGCCTAGGGATGAGATGTGATCATTGTAGGTTCCTTTTACTGAATAATGAGCAAGTTTAGTAGCAAGCAGAAGCTAAGAACAGAGTAGGGTCTCATTTCTAGCTTTAAGCCCAAGCTAAGTGCAGCAACAGTCTACTAAAACACCAACTAGGGCAAGCTAACACGCATGTTGTTCAGACCCAAGGCCAGGTCAGGCACTTGCAGAGCTCAGACCAAGAAAGCAGTAATAAGACTTTGCATTGGTTCAGACCACCTTGGAAGCACTGAAAGTTTGCAGGTTCCCAGCCTGAACTGTCCCCTAAAGTACTAGAAAAAACACAATAATCAATACCCCAAGAAAGCAGCAGCAAAACCAGCCCAGACATTCTCTCTAGAAGTGCACAGAGCCCTAACATAAAGTCCAAAGTCAGGAAGGAGGCTGGAAGAATAAGCAAACAATGAAAAGAATTCCATTATAAAGAGCAATTTTGGTGACAGGGATGCTCAAGACACAAATCCAGAAGAGAATGATTCCAAAATATCTACAAGCAAAGCCTCAAAGGAAAACATAGCTTGGTCACAAGTTAAACTGGAATTCATGGAAGAGATGAAGCAAAAGTTTAAAATGTTTATTTTTTTTATTTTTATGAATGAGATGAGAGCTATGGAATAAAAAACTGGAAAGATAATTAACAGCTTAACACAAGAGATACAAAATCATATCTAAGCAACAACCTTCTTGAAAATTAGAATGAACCAAAAATAAATGAAATAACAAGAAATAAACAAAGTTGAAGACTGTAAAAGTAGAAGGCATCTCATTGCAGAAACAAATGACTTGGAAAACAAACCAAGGAGAGAGAATTTAAGAATGATTGGATTACCTAAAAGCCATGAACAAAAATGTCTCCACATATTTCAAGAAAACCTAAGAGAAAACTGTCCAAATCTCAGAAATAGAAGGCAAAGTGGAAATAGAAATCTTACCAGTCACCTCCTAAAAGCAACTTCAAAATGAAAATTCACAAGAATATTATAGCCAAAATTCAGTTTTCAGGGCAAAGAAAAAAATACTTAAAGAAATCAGAAAGAATTCAAGAATGAGCTGTAGTCAGGATCACACACAATTTGGCAGCTACCACTATAAAAAAGTGAAGAGATTGGAATATGATATTCCAGAAGGCAAAAG